AGGTGGTTAATATATGTTGATCACTTTGGGCTGCTTCTCCTGGAACAATTTTCTCTAACCTCAGGTCTCTGAAGAGCAGTCAACCAAATCAAATGAACAGTTATTTCCTGAGCACCAAGATAAAGTATAAGATATACTCATTGATCTATTTTGGAAGCAGTCCTAACATAAATAGATTATAGGTAAAAGTTTTTAAATAAAATTTGAATATCACAGAAGCACTTTCACAGACCAGTATGAGATCAGTTGCTGAATTATATACATATAGGAATTGCATTCAAGTCAGCACTCAAAAGATGGGTTGAGTTTCAGTAGATTGGAAGAGGAGGAGGAAGAGGAGTGATTTGGTTAGGAAATAACATGAGAAAAAAGGCAGGCTTAACAACTGTACAGAAACAACTAAGGCTTTGTTAAGAATGGGGCTTTCAGACTGGAGATCAATGAATATTAGTTTGAAAGCAGTTTGTAAAATTATTGGTAAGAGGAATGGCAGGGAGACTGACCTGTTAATTAAAGTGCACAGCAATCTTGAGAAATGAAGTGAGGAAGGACCAGAATTTGATGGCATTGTGGAAATGGAAGGCAGGGGCCTTATTTCATAGTTAAATTACCAAGGTGGAATCTCCAAGGCTCAGGAGTAAAGGAGGAATGGCTCCTGACAATGGCTCAGGCTTTGAGACTGGAGTGGAGATTAAGGTTTATTGAACAGAAGTAAGTGAGAAGAGTTTATATTTTTTAACTTATCATGGCAGTGGCATCCTACTGCATAGCTTGCAGTGGGAACTTTGAGGCTAGGATTTAGGAGAAAAAGACTTGTGATAAAGAACATGCAGCATCAGCTACATGAAGATGCTTATTAAAGTTGTTTTTTTTGTTTTGTTTTGTTTTTGTTTTGTTTTGTTTTTTGAGGCGGAGTTTCACTCATGTTACCCAGGCTGGAGTGCAATGGCGCGATCTCAGCTCACCGCAACCTCCGCCTCCTGGGTTCAGGCAATTCTCCTGCCTCAACCTCCTGAGTAGCTGGGATTACAGGCATGCACCACCATGCCCAGCTAATGTTTTTGTATTTTTAGTAGAGACGGGGTTTCGCCATGTTGACCAGGATGGTCTCGATCTCTTGACCTCGTGATCCACCCGCCTCGGCCTCCCAAAGTGCTGGGATTACAGGCTTGAGCCACCGCGCCCGGCAATTAAAGTTTTAAGAAATGATAAAATCTCAAAGGAAGATACTAGGGAAGGATTTATAAGAGTATCTAAACCTGTTTCCACCTGAATCTATTTTTCCTCCATAGGTTGTCCATAGATGAGAGATTCTGTCAGCTCACCTATTGCTATAGGCCCTTTTGTTCAGGAGGTGTAGTGGGAAGAGCACAGACTTAAAGTGAAATGCGCATTTGAGGAATAACAGGAGGAAGAGAAACTAAAAAGGGAATGATGTTAAAAGCAGGACCAAGTAGTGTGAGATTTCCGAATAAAGGACAGAGAAATACTAGTCGATAGATAGGATCTATCTGAAGAGAATTAGAGGAGAATGAGGACTGACAGGATTAGTTTTGTTTAATTTAGTATCCTTTTTACTACCAATTTCCATGAACTCCATGAAAAACTCCCATTTTTTTCTCATTTACTACCAGTAGAGTTCAGCACCAGGTAGGCATTCGTTACATTTCAGTGGGTAGATAGAAGGAAGAAAAAGTGTACTTTCAAAGGATATGTTTGTTGCTTTTGCAGCTAGAAAAAATATATATTTTAAGTAAGTACACTTTCAGTAAAATATAGAGTGTGTTATGATTGCAAGGAACAAAATTAAAAATGGGAGTTAGAATTCTGAATCTCACCTTCTTCCAAATTGATCAATTGTTTTGTTTTATACCCAGCACACTATTCTCTTCAGACAAGAGAGAGCAGTTAAGCAATTTTGAAACTATGAGCTGAAGCAACAGTGAATTTCAGTAAGTTTTAAAGCAGTACATCACTATTTGTTGATAGCTAGATTTTTTTCTAAACTTACTCAATTAAAACGCCTCTCATTTTAGAAAACAAGCCTGAAATTACATTTCTAAGGCGTTGAAAACAATCCTTCATCCCAATAAAATACATCCCAATAAAATACAAAAGAAAAAGAAATACCAAAATCTAGTCACGGTTCTCCAAAGAAACAGAGCCAAGAGCCAATAAGATGAATATATAGACGTTTACTTTAAGGAATTGTCTCATGCAGTTGTGGAGGCTTGGCACGTCCAAAATCAGGGTGGGCCAGCAGGCTGGAGACCCAGGAAAGAGTTAGTGTTGCAGTTCAAATCCAAAGGCTCTCTGCTGGCAGAACGCTTTCTTCCCAGGGGAAGATAAGTCTTTTTCTATTAAAGCCTAAACTGATTGATGGATTGATTGGATGAGGCCCACCCAGTTTATGGAAGGTAATCTGCTTTTACTCAAAGTCTACTGACTTAAACCTGTTAATCTCATCCAAAAGCAAAAACAAAATCCTTCACAGAAACATTTAAAATATCTAGGTACCCTGTCCACCCCCTCCCCCCACCCCTGCAATTTGACATGTAAAAGTAACCATCATAAGTCCACCCCTTGTTAATTTGGCACCTGTATGCATCTCCTTATTCCATACTTAATCTCCAAATAAAGAGAATAACAAGTTCATACTCCACCTAACCTGATAGCATTATCCTGTGTACAACCAAAAAACACACTAACCTTTTCCCTGGAGGAAAATGCAAAGTCCTTGGATGATGTTTACTCCTCTCTGTGAGACTCCATAATTTAGATACTGTGAGGTAAAATTAATAATACTTAAATACTATGATATGAAGTCTGGCTGGGCATGGTGGCTCACACCCTTAATCCCAGCACTTTGGGAGGCTTAGGTGGGCAGATCATTTTGAGGTCAGGAGCTCAAGACCAACCTGGCCACCGTGGTGAACCTCATCTCTACTTAAAAAAAAAAACAGAAAAAGAATATGTATACACACACACTAGCTGGACGTGGTGTTACACACCTGTAATCCTAGCTACTCAGGAGGCTGAGGCAGGGGAATCACTTGAACCCAGGAGGCAGAGGATGCAGTGAACCAAGATCCCACCACTGCACTCCAGCCTGGGCAATGGAGCAAGACTCCATCTCAAAAAAATAAAGCCAATAATCCAATGTTATATGATAAGGGGACAAGAAAGGAAAGAAAGATACTTGCTTAATATATGTCTATATATAGATATGCATACCCAAACATTCATAACAAAATAAGAAATATAACAATGAGAGTTCTCGTTTCTGTAGCTGGTCACATGGTAGTTGCTGTATTCATGGCTGCCTTCTTCCACTACCCATTCTGTATTCCCTTTGCACTCAACTAGCAAGCTGATCATGGTTCTTTACCTAGTGGGGTGACCCAAACCTTCATTCGTCAGGGGTGTGGGCCATTCGTAGTCCTGTATGGAATGTTGTCATTTTCATCGACTGTAATCCTGGGGCAGGGTACAGAGATGTCCTAAGGGATCTTCTTAAGCCAGACATACTCCTTACCCCCATCGTCTAGTAGTTCCAGTTCCTCTTGGTCAGGATCAGTCACCCCAGCCAACACCGTAATTCTCTTCTTTGCCTGTTGATTCAAAGGTGTGAGAAGCCCAAAGTGACTGTGTGGCTATCTTAACTTCCAGTTTAGTGGAATTATTGTAATTTTTCATCTTCTAAATAATGTATTTGAGTAGGGATACATTTATTCTGAAATGCATATTATGAATATTATACAGAATGATTTACCTTGTGATAAAGTGAAATAGGGTATTAAGCAGAGATAGTATGCAGATATCTTTTACCATCAAATTAGGGAGCAAGATTCTCTGATGCAGTGTTCCTCAGTCTTAAACCCTATATTAATAATGCCTTTTCATAAAAAAAGAGGTTCCAGAACATAAGTGCTGACTTTAAACATTTTTATTTTAATTTATTTAAATATGTACAAACATTATACTAGATATAAAACATTTATGCTTATTATATTTCTTTATGAAACCCGGACTTAGTATGGATAAGGGACAAGCAAAACCCAAAAGCAGTAAAGTTGAAAATAACACTGAGTGAATGTAATGGATGGATTTTGCCAGAACTAACTTGCTACTGCAAACAGGCATCTGGATAGCACTGGCGACTATGATGCGGACTGGGCTCAGCTCAACTGGGGGGCTTCTGCCCTGCAGTTGGCCCTGCTCTCTCCCCACTGTGTGTGAATCACGTCGAAACCTTTGCTCTCTCGCAGCATGCCTTGAGCACTTATTTAGGTGTCAAATATACCTCTGTTCTTTTATCATTAGCCCATGAATTCAAGCTGTACACCTTTTAAATAACATTCTCTGTCTTACAGTTTCATGGTGCTAAAGTCTCAAATTAGTAAGTAGTTTAGTCTTAATGACATAAACGTTTATTTGTAAATTATCACTGCAAAAGAGAATTTTAACTTGTGAACCAACAAAATCAGAATGAATGCACTGATGAGACAATTGTGGATGAAGGCTGTCATGTTAACATGGGACACGCCAGCCTGTGTAGCCAGGCATATTAATGAACCCACTAAAATAAGTACTTTGATTTTACTTCAGATCATGGATGTCAAACGTAATCACAAAACACAAATTCTAGAGCACTAAAATCACTTGTCAATACTTACTTGTTAACCAGACATCCAGATAATTCTGAATATATTTGTGTTAATTATTTTTTACATTATCAAGTTAAAAAAAATTGTGAAGAACGCAGTCATCCGAGAATATGTCTAAGTGCCCTCAGATATCTGAGGTCCTCAATTTGAAGAAACGCTAATATATTGGGAAAAAATACTAAACCTTGAATACCTGGGTATAAGCCACTATATTGTTGTGAACTCTGGCAAGCCACTTAATCACTCCGGGCATTAAGTTCCTGGGTTATGCCCAGCTTCAAGGCCTGATTTGCTAGACTTCTGAGTTCATGCTCTTCTTTATTCAATCAAAAGGCCTTTGAAATTCCAGAATCCTGTGTTGGGCTTATAGTTCAATCAGTAATTTTAAAAAATGGGGTCCTGGCAAGAAAGTGTTATGTGCTGGTGGGTCTCTCAGGAGGAATCACATTATTCTGTAAGATTATGCTGATTATAAAGGCCTCATTTTCTTTCATTATAGATTCTGATTCCCAGCATAGCCACGAAGTGATGCCTCTCCTCTATCCTCTCTTTGTCTACCTCCATCTCAACCTGGTCCAGAACAGTCCGAAGAGCACAGTGGAAAGTTTTTACAGTCGCTTCCATGGAATGTTTCTGCAGAACGCTAGCCAGAAGGATGTCATTGAGCAGCTACAGACCACTCAAACCATCCAGGACATCCTGTCTAACTTCAAGCTTCGAGCATTCCTAGATAACAAGTACGTGGTCCGTCTCCAAGAAGACAGCTACAACTACCTTATCCGCTACCTCCAAAGTGACAACAATACTGCCCTGTGCAAAGTCCTCACCTTACATATTCATCTTGACGTGCAGCCTGCCAAGAGAACAGACTACCAGCTGTATGCCAGTGGCAGCTCCTCCCGCAGTGAGAACAACGGCTTGGAGCCCCCTGACATGCCCAGCCCTATTCTACAGAACGAGGCTGCCCTGGAGGTCTTACAGGAGAGCATTAAGCGCGTCAAAGATGGGCCTCCCTCCCTCACTACCATCTGCTTCTATGCCTTCTATAACACAGAGCAGCTGTTGAACACTGCAGAAATCTCCCCCGATAGCAAACTACTTGCCGCTGGGTTTGACAACTCCTGTATAAAACTTTGGAGTTTACGATCCAAGAAGTTAAAATCAGAGCCCCATCAAGTAGACGTGTCCCGCATCCATTTGGCTTGTGATATTCTGGAGGAGGAGGTATGAATACCATTTTATTCTTCTCTGTACCTGCTTTCCTAATTTGCTTAGAATGTCCTTACCAAACACGATATATGTTGAAATGGACTTGCTAGTTTTCGTCATCATATAGCTAAAGCCAGACTAATGCCATGTAACCTGCAGCCATTGAATTCCTGCACATGCCTAACCTAAGACATAAAAACAATTTTTAGCAACGTTAACATTATTAGTGAATGGTCAGTATTTATATTATATGAAATGTGGATAACAACACTAAGCCTAATGAAAGACCTTTAGCTAATATTGTCTTTAGCTGAGATTTGCAGTAAATATGCACTACGAGTGTGCACATTTGCTCTGGTATAAATAATCAGAAGTAGGATTACTAAGCCGAAGGGCCTGCATTGTAAACTGTAATGAATCTCACTTTCCCCACAGAAGGCTGTGCCATTTCAGTCTCAGCGGCAGTAGTGAGAACACTGGCGTCCCTGCACCCTCGCTGCACTGGATGGTATTAGCTTTCTGAGGCTAGTGCATATCCTGTGGCTTGATGTACCCCAGGGTGTTCCCAGACCCCACTTTGAGAAGTAACACAGGAAGTAGAGTTGCCAGCTCCCTCCGTCAGTCAGTTTTCAGTCTGGTTTGGTTTGTAACCATTTAGGACAGTCACTGAAAAGGGCAGGCACAGCTTGGGTTTCAGGTCACCAAAAATCACTACCTTAGAAAAAAATGTGGGCCAAGGAAGACAGAAATTAAACTTCACAGAGTTAACTTGTCTTCAGAGTGTTCCTGCTGTAGGCCAAAATATTTTTGTCTTATCACCACTGTAATTCAGGTAGCTCTGCCTCACGTTACTTGGGATGGAAAATTCTTTACACAGTGTTGAAAAATTAAGAAGCAAAAAAAAAAATCACTCTAACTAAATTACAGTTAATGATAAGAATATCAAAAATATTTGGTGCCCTAAATTAAGCTGTTGTTTTCCTATTCTTGTTTTCTGAGTCCGCTTCCAGTTAGGATAGCCTTTGAATTTTTTATTCTTGCAACTGAGACAGTATAATTGAAGGATTTCCTTATGATGAGTAAAGAGTCTAGATTCCCATGTAGAAGCTTTAATTTCTAGAATTTTATAGTATTCTCCAAAATATTTTTTATTACATTTGTATTTGAATTTTCAAACTTCTCTTTTCTTTGGAGACAGTTCTCTTTTTGGGAGTTCTTCTGATAAAACTGAGGAATACTGCCTGCATTTGCTCTTAATTTTCTGTAAATACAAAAAAAAAATGTATTTATACGACCTTATTAGCTTTGATGATACAGAGTTTGGAGATTATTCTGGATATTAAAATTAAGGAAGATAGCATTATGACATCTTAGTAGACCAAAATAAAACATTTTAAGACTCTGGCCACTACTGAAAACTAGCTCTGTGACTTGTCCTATGTATATTTCTGGATATCAGAAGTGTATCTGAAGACTCAGAAGTGAGGAACAGCATGAGGAATTCCAGGAATTGAAAGAAATTAAGTATGGCTGGATTTAGGAGAGGGACTAAGACAGGAAGTGATGCAGTGACACTGTCTTATGTGAGCAATTATGGCATCCAAACTAGGGTAGTGGCAGTGCAAAAGAAGATGTGGACTAAGAAGAGCTCAGTTATTAGATGACTATAGGGGAGAGGGAGAGAAAGCACCAAGGGTGACATTTGTGTCTCAGGCTTAAATAGTTGGATGTCCATCAAGAAGAGAGCAAAAGACGTCATCGGAATGGTGGTTTTGTTTAGGCATTTCTGGCTTTCCATCATTCATACTGAAAGTACTGTAGATGCTAGCTAGCCTCTGCCTTTTTTTAAAAAATAAACTTTTTTAAACTTAGGAACTAAAGCTGAGATTCTCCTATTCTGTTGTTGAGGGGCTTCCTGCCTGGGATTTCTGCATACCTGCCCATTTTGTCACAGCAATTTGGGAAGTTTTCTTTTTAGTTTCTGACAATGAGCATTTCGGGGGAAAGCCAGGAATAAATTAGTTACAATAGTTGGTGTTTAATGTTTCTCCAGTGAAAATTTGGACTTTTCTTTTTCCTTGTAGAATGCATAATTTAAAATGAGACTATTATTTTGAAATGAAATATAGAATATTTAAAAAAATAAAAGACTCTAATGCAGGAGCCACAGACTCACATACCTATAGAAGCCAAGCAGGTAAAAGCAAATGGTGAAGCTACAGAGATTAATGAGATGATAGGAAGTACAAAATCACTATGTAAGACAAATTAAAAAGCCAGCTTGCACTCTCTGCTTTAATCTTTTTGAAGCAATAACTATTACATAAATCAGTGAATACAACATTTCAACAGTATTTGAAATGGTGTTCACACCCAGCAATTCCACTTCTAGACATATATCCATGAGAACTGAAAACATATGTGCACATAGGCACTTTTACATGAATATTCATAGAAGCATTATTCACAATAGCCAAAAAGTGGAAACCGTCCAAATGTCCATCAAGATGAATGAATGAATAAAATGTAGTGTATGCATGCAGTGGAATATTATTTGGCCATAAAAAGAAATTAAGCACTGATTCAGGCTGTAACATGGATGAACTTGAAAACTTTATGCTACATGAAAGAAGCTAGTCATAAAAGGTCACATACTGTTATTCCTTTTATAGGAAATATCCAGATAGGCACGTCCATAGAGACAGACAGGAGAGGAGTGGTTGCCAGGGGCTGGGCAAGGAGAATGAGAGTGACCGCTAATGGGTGTGGCATTTCCTTGTGAGGTAATGAAAATGCTCTATATTAGATAGTGGTGATGATTGCACAACTCTGTAAATGTACTAAAAAGTCATTGAATTGTACACTTTTAAAGAATTAATTACATAGCATGTAATTATATCTCAGTTTAAGAAAAAAACAGAAAAACAGTAACCAAACTCTTCTATGTGAGCATAAAATTTTCTGTGTTAATTATGCCAAATAAAACTGAATTCACAGCAGTGTCCGGTAGCTTCTATTGTCGCCCACTCAGAGATCATCTAGGTTAACCTTTGGAAAGGTGTTAAGTGGCATAGCAGTCCCTTGCTTTTCACCTCGGCATGAGCAGCCCTCCTCCTGTTTCAGACACTGAAGTGAAGAGTGACACCTTCATTCTCCATCTTTCGTTCTGTACGAAATGGAGATAGAAATGATATCCAACTTTTACCCCTGTTGATTGATACCTACGTATTTTTAATATTTGAGCAACGCGGCAAAACCACAGAGATACCAAACCAAGGATTTGCTCCTTTCTTTTCAGCTATGTGTATGCAGCTACCTTCATCACTACCAGCACCCTCCCTCTTAACTCAATAAAACAGCTGTGTGCAATTTCATTTATATGTCTGGTGGTTTTCCCCCCAATCTGGTCTTCCTTAGGTTTGAAGAGTAAAGAAGACAGTATTAGCAATACTCAATTCTGTAAACGATGTATAAAATTTTCATTTGGATTAAGGCTATCCAGTAGGAATATAATGTGAACCATAAAGTAATTTAAATTTTTCTAGCAGCTTCATCTAAAAAGGTTAAAAAATTGTTAAAATTAATTTTAATGATGTGTTTCATTCAAACTAATCTGAACAAATTATCATTTCAGCTACTAGGCAATATAAAAAATTATTCATGAAATCTGTTACATACATTTCTTTCGGTCCTAATTTTTAGAAATCTGATGTGTATTTCACACAAATAGCACATGTCGATTCATGCTAGCCAGTATCTAACTTTTCTGTTCTAGTTCGGGCTGCTGTCATCTCTCACATAGATAGCAGTGATTCACTTGCTTCCAAGTCTAACCCAAATAGTCTAACTTCACAAGTCCAGCCAAATTGAATGTCTTCCTTTTCCACTAACAGCTAATTAGAGAATAGACGGAGGCTAAATTTCAGACCCCAAGAAAGGACCCCTGGTCTGAGGGAAACATGAGTGTGAGCTCTGAGGTACTTGGAGCCTCCCAGTCCAGTCTAGGAGCAGAGACCTGTAAGAAATCTGAGGTTTTAGGGCCCCCATAGTCCAGAGCAGGGGCAGCAAACTACAGCACAAAGGTGCACGAGATGATACTTGCTTACTCTTTAAATTTCTATTTCATTTATGTTTCATAATATACATAATAAGATTTATTATTACATGAATATGCTTTACAAATTAAACATTTCTATTTGGGATGGATACCCAATTACTATGGGGTATTCAGGCTGAAATGCAGGGTATGGTATTATCCTGTTGGCAGGAGAGAGAAGAGAGAACCAATGGGGCTAGGCCCTCGTGAATCAGCTGCTTGACTGCGCTGAGGCCCGTGTGGGACTGGTTGAGCCACACAGAGAATGTGGCTGGGTTATTTTAAGCTGTGGTCCTGGCAGAGGGCTGACAGTGATAGCCAGCAGGAACGTTCTGGTTTCTCCATTCCTTGCTCTACAGAGTCAGCCAGGCACGTTTCCACCCGCCCGGGACAATCATCAAGATCCCTGGGGAGTGCCAGCTGCACTCCCAGGTCATGCACCTCTCTGTCTGCAACTGTGATACCTTCACCACTGAGGAGGTAAAGGCCACTTCCATAGCTTCCTGTTCCAAATGAAGATCATTTATACCTCAGAGATAGTAACATGTCCTTTCACAGTTAACTTTCAGAGGATCTTTGTTTAATTCATCTGGTGTCATTTTTGTTCCCATAGTCCTTATATAAACTTTCTGGTATAAAGCAGTGAGTCATTCTTGAAATTTTAAAGTGTTGCTGTAACTTCTTTGGAAAGGAAAATTATTAATATTCTTGGCAGCCCTCAGTAGAACCTTAAGCTCCCAAATACTTATGTATTTTTAAAGTTGAGTGTTTGGAATGGCCATTTTGAATATTCATCAACATAAGTGTTTATTATCTCTCAACTCTTCCTTAAATATGTACACATTGGAAGCATTCATTTTATTTTGAATTTAATCATTTTCAAGTGCCCTTTTCTTATACAAGAACATAAGACTGCTGCAATGAACCAACAAAGCTGACTGGTTCAGGAATCTTCATCATGCTCCTTTATTCTAGTGTTTAATTGAAACTCATTTTAACTGATGAATTCCGGAACAGAGACAGCTATAGTTTCGAGGAGTTTATCTGTGAGGGAATAAAGGGAAATGAATTTTGAAAACAGATGGTATACTTGTGGGGAGGGGACCGGGAAAGGGGACTCTTTGAGTATCATTAGTTTGCTGTCTTTTTCTGTCCTCACACACAGGAAATTATTTCAAAGAATCACATGAATCACTTGGCTTTGCTTAAAGCACTTCTGAATCCATGCCTTGTTTTGTTACTTTGGGGGAAATGTTTTTTGAGATCCTCCAGAAAGTCACTTAAAAATTTCATTCTTATTATTTTGAGACACCAAGCAGTTTGTGCATTTGTAGCTGGTCACCAGGCAGGGGGATGATGTGATTTACTAGTAACTGTACCTTTCTACCTTACTATTAATTCTTTTTTTTTTTTTTTTGGCAACAGAGTTTCGGTCTTGTTACCCAGGCTGGAGTGCAATGGCGCGATCTTGGCTCACCGCAACTTCCGCCTCTTGGGTTCAGGCAATTCTCCTGCCTCAGCCTCCCGAGTAGCCGGGATTACAGGCACGCACCACCATGCCCAGCTAATTTTTTGCATTTTTAGTAGAGACGGGGTTTCACCATGTTGACCAGGATGGTCTCGATCTCCTGACCTCGTGATCCACCCACCTCGGCCTCCCAAAGTGCTGGGATTACAGGCGTGAGCCACCGCGCCCGGCCACTATTAATTCTTAAACATCCAGGTTTTATTTTGGCTAAGCTCCTCTGATAATTCTGGGTTTTGTTTGTTTGTGTTTGTTTTTGTTTCGGGTTTTTTTGTTTTTGTTTTTGTTTTTGTTTTTGACACAGGGTCTCCGTCTGTCCCCCAGACTGAAGTGCAGTGATGCCATCACAGTTCACTGCAGCCTCAACTTCCCAGGTTCAAGTGACCCTCCTACCTTAGCCTCCCAAGTGTCTGGGACCACAGGCATGCGCCACCATACCCAGCTGATTTTTTCAATTTTTTTAATAAAGAGTCTCCCTATGTTGCCCGGGCTGGTCTCCAACTCCTGGGCTCCAGTGATTCTCCTGCTTTGGCCTCCCAGAGTGTTGGGATTACAGGGTGAGCCACCATACCTGAACCAGTAGTTGTGTGTCCATCTTGAAATGATACCACATCTGCCTTTATGTGTTGCTGCCTCCATCATTAACCCCCACCGTGGGAGCAAGGAACATGTCAGGACTTGACAAAAATATTGTTGTCAGTTAAATGAAGTAAAAACAGAGAAGTATGGCTTATAAAGCAGCTAAAACTGATGGATGAAGGGAATGCCTATAGAACAGAAGAATCTGAGAGCCTCACACAAACTGAAAAGTAACTTTTCAAATGGCTTTCATCGGAATTAACCATATAAGCTATCCTCAACCGAAGGGTAAGGTCCACAGTCATTACTCTGTAATGGCCTTGCATTTCTGTATCTTTTAATCTCCTATAGTCTGAACTGCAAGGTGAATTTAAGGAGAGCAATTTGTAAGTTGTAAGAGACTTTATATTCAGTTACGAGTTATCTTCCTGGGGTAGTGTTTAAGGGCAAAGCCACTGTCATTTGCTGGATAGATGCTACTTCCCTAGCAGTCTCCATTTTCTACTTTTTTTCTCCTGGATTTGTTTTCCTTGTCAGATCACTGAACGTTTTTTTCTTGTTTCTTTTCCCACCCCACCCTGATGTTCCCAGGATGATGAGGATGATAATGCAGGCACAGAGATGAAGATACTGCGGGGACACTGCGGACCAGTGTACAGCACGAGGTTCCTCGCAGACAGCTCAGGGTTGCTCTCTTGTTCTGAAGACATGTCCATCAGATACTGGGATCTGGGGAGTTTCACCAACACTGTGTTGTACCAAGGACATGCCTATCCCGTGTGGGATCTGGACATCAGTCCATATAGCCTGTACTTCGCCAGCGGGTCCCACGACCGCACCGCCAGGCTGTGGTCATTTGATCGGACGTACCCACTGAGGATATATGCAGGACACCTGGCAGATGTGGACTGTGTCAAATTCCACCCTAATTCAAACTACTTAGCTACGGGCTCAACCGACAAGACCGTCCGGCTGTGGAGCGCTCAGCAGGGGAACTCGGTGAGGCTTTTCACAGGCCACCGTGGCCCCGTGCTTTCTCTCGCCTTTTCTCCCAACGGTAAGTACTTGGCGTCTGCTGGCGAGGACCAGCGGTTGAAGCTGTGGGACTTGGCCTCTGGGACCCTTTATAAAGAGCTGAGAGGCCACACAGACAATATCACCAGCCTCACCTTCAGTCCAGACAGCGGCTTGATTGCCTCTGCCTCCATGGACAACTCGGTGCGCGTCTGGGACATCAGGAATACTTACTGCAGTGCACCTGCCGACGGCTCCTCCAGTGAGCTCGTGGGCGTGTACACCGGGCAGATGAGCAACGTCCTGAGTGTGCAGTTCATGGCCTGTAACCTTCTTCTGGTGACTGGAATTACACAAGAAAATCAGGAACATTAATTTTTTATCTTTGGAACGGACTGGGGTAGCGGTGGAAAGCCTCCAGTTGCAGTCCTTCGATGAGCTGAGATTGAATCACTGACTGACTGTGAAAGAACCTCCTTCTCCCCTCTTTCCTGGGCCCTCATTCCGGGCAGGTCCCCCTTCACTCAGCACCCCACTATCGCAGGCCAGGGTTGGGGAGGGGGACAGAAGCCAGGCAATGATGAGTGATCAAGAATTAGGATGCCCTGGAGGTCACTCACAAGTTCTCACGGAGACCCTGCCGTGACCTCACACATGCGAGCACCTTCCTGTCTCTGTCTCCTTTTCCCCATCTGACCGGGGCTGGGTTTGGTTAGAGGGCGGCTGCAGAGCACCCTCAGGAGAAGTGGCGCCACAGGGGTCACTCGTGGTCCAGCCCTTGGGTGGGAGGAAAGGCTTTGTTGGCGGAGGGATATGGGTCGGGAACAAGGAAAGGGGAGGGGACAATCCTGGCAAATAGTCTTTCCTTTTCCGTAATTACAGAGAACCAGGATTTTTTTAATTATTGTTATTATAATTATAATTATTATTATTATTGAGAAGAGGAAACCTAGCACTGGCAGAGGGAAACTTCTCTGCTTTTATCTTTCAGGTTTGACTCCTGGCACTGGCTTTGATACTTGGAATTTTGAGGTTCAGGGAATTCAGAGAATTTGGTAGCACAGTGTACTGGGAGAAAGGGAAATTTCGGGTGACAGATTGATGACCCTGGTTGACATGTTTCTGGAAGTGGGTGGGTGGGTTTGACTGAGAACATTTTGGGCTCCTGCAGTGATGGTAGGAAAGAAAAATTCTTTCCATGGCTGCACTTCTCTTAATAATTCTCTCCCCTCAAAAGAAAGATTATGACAAAATAATTTGAAGTAATAAGTAACAAGATAGAAAACTGTTGAATTTCCGAATGACCATTCAGAAGTGTGGCTTTTTCCACGTCGTTTCCTCCTGCAATGAACTGCTCCCATGTCCTGCACTGCAATACCAGTCTAATGAACACTTTGTGAAACGTAAGTATGTGCGCACGCATATCAAACTATGCTCTGAGGATAAAGCAAGTTCTAATTTGTGGAAAAAGGATTAAATATTTCTGTTTTCTGAAAAGAGTTATTTTGTATTTTGTTTTCTATTAAAATGTATTTAGTTTCAAAAAAAAAAAAAAAGTGTTGGCATCTCATTTCAACTCAGAGGACAGGCAGGTGACTATTCTGTCCTGGGATGGTGTGCGTCTCACCTCTCATCAGGGCAATAACGTGTTGGTTACCTAGGCCACACTATCCCCAATGAAGGTACATTTTTGCCTGTTCTTTGGTTCTGTTTAGCTTACTTTGAATCATGAATCCCCTTAGTATTCACTTGGATTATTGATGGCATTTAATGCTGTTTGTACATCCAAGATTGATAGTTGCTGACTGGAGGCAACATATATTTCACCATCTAGAGTCATTTGATGAGATCCTACTACCCACTTCCTTTGAAACCCCACTATAAAATCTCCAAGGGGCACAAGAGCTGGGCTGTTTAATAAACTCAAACTATGAGATTCCAGATAAAGCAATTCCAGATAAAGGATTCATTCAAAGTAAAGTGAACCTCAAAACAATTTTCTTGGCCAGGTGCAGTGGCTCACGCCTGTAATCCCAGCACTTTGGGAGGCCAAGGCGGGCAGATCACCCAAGGTCAGGAGTTTGAGACCAGCCTGGCCAGCATGGCGAAACCTTGTCTCTACTAAAAACACAAAAATTAGTTGGGCATGGTGGGAGGCACCTGTGGTGGCTGAGGCAAGGAGAATCACTTGAACCCAGGAGGCGGAGGTTGCAGTAAGCTGAGATCGTGCCACTGCACTCCAGCCTGGGCAACAGAGCAAGACTCAGTCTCAAAAAAAGAAAAAAATAACATAATTCTCTCACAGGGACACCAAGAATTATTAGGAAATTAAGTAGGAAGACTAGACTTCTATGCCAGTTTTTTTTTTTACTTGAGCCTACAATGCTGATTAATCAAAAATGTTTCTTATTTATAAAATCCATATATTTGAGACACTGGAAGAAGGGACCTTTGGTAGTAGCCTGATGGCATCGCCTTCCATGTGTTCTGCAAGTAAACCCTGGCGTTCAAATGTGTTCTGATCTGTTATAAGCAAACTCTCCGGTGAGATGCTGCGGTATATTACCAGAAACAACAAAATCTCTTAAGTTGGATTGAATTATTCTCTGAAGTGAAAGTATATTACTGACTGGATGATTTGGAAGGGTTTTGTGTGTGTTTGTAGGTTAGTGCAGAATCTCCATTAAACACACGCTGTATGCGATGAGTCTTCACCAGTCATGTCCATACCTTATAATTTAACTTCAAGTTCTTAATGAGCATAATTGGCTTTGCGTTTTTTTTGAAAGAACTAATTTTAATGTGAGATAATTTGACTTTATAGACTGCCCATCAGAATTCTCCCAAGTTCTTAAAAGTATTAAGAGGGGTGTATGCTTGTGTCTGTGTCCACTCGAGTGCTTGAGAGTGCAGTCACACTCTAGAGATCTCACTCTTCTAAGGGAAAGCCTGCACAATTGCACCATTTTGTAGACAACATACTTAATGCGTAGAAATGCTCTGTGAATCGTCTCGATACGGCTTGGAATAGTCACTTGTCTCGAATATGCTCCACAGATTCAGTACCTTTAGGTTCTGGCTGTAGCTATAGAGGTGTAGCTATAGAGATAAAAAACATTTTTTTAAAACCTCCAAAAAAGAAATACAGATATTCAATAAGCATATAGGTAGTACTTACAGTGGGCCAGAAGCTGCTCCAAAAGGTTTATGAAAATTAACTTATTTTATCTCAGCAACCCTCTGAGGGGAGTATTTGTATCCCCATTTCACAGATGAGGAGTCCGAGGTGCTGATGGGTTAAGTCACTTGCCAGGGGGCACAGCTGGTCATCAAGGAGGCCAGATTTTAACCTGGGCATTCTGGCTGCGGAGCTCCTGCTCTTATCCCTGCTCTGTTGTCTCCCTTCATTCCTGCAGTACCAAGTAAAGACTGAACTGAAATTAGGAATAACCAAATGTTATCAGCCAAAATTATAAGACTCTTACTTCCCTCTGCCCAGTAAACTAGCAGCAACAAGCAGGATTAGGACCTGGCAGTAAGAACAGACCTAAACAATATATGGCTAAAAGAAATGAGCCCGGGCACGGTGGCTCACACCTGTAATCCCAGCCCTTTGGGAGCTGAGGCAGGCAGATCACCTGGGGTCAGGAATTCGAGACCAGCCTGGCCAACATGGTGATACCCCATCTCTACTAATAATAGAAGATTAGCTGGGCATGGTGGTGCATGCCTGTAATTCCAGCTACTACGGAGGCTGAGGCAGGAGAATCACTGGAACCCTGGAGGTGGAGGTTGCGGTGAGCCGAGATCATGCCACTGCATTCTAGCCTGGGCAACAGAGGGAGACTCTTGTCTCAAAAAAACAGGAAAGAAAGAAACTTCAGAATGTTCTGTTATTGTGAACCACAATGATAAATCTCTGAAGTGTGTATAAGGTGGGGAAGTGTTTAACCAGCTGAACAACAATGATAAAGCTCTGAAATGTGTATAAGGTGAGGAAGGCAGTTTAACCATGGTGGCTCATGCCTGTAATCCCAGCACTTTGGGAAGCCAGGGCGGGATTACTTGAGCCCAGGAGTTCAAGACCAGCCTGGGAAACATATTGAGACCCTTTTTTTTTTTTTTTTTTTAAGAGATGGGGTCTTGCTGTGTTGCCCAGGCTGGTGTGCAGTGGCTATTCACAGGAGCAATCCCACTACTGATCAGCACAGGAGTTTTGACCTGCTCCATTTCTGACCTGGGCTGGTTCACCCCTCCTTAGGCAATCTGGTGGTCCCTTGCTCCTGGAAGGTCACCATATTGATGCTGAACTTAGTGCAGACACCTGATCGGCATAGCACACTACAGCCCAGAACTCCTGGGCTCAAGTGATCCTCCCACCTCAGCCTCCTGAGTAGCTGGGACTACAAGCACTCAACACCATGCCTGGTTTTTGGTTTTTGGTTTTTTTGTTTTTTTGTTTTTTGAGACAGAGTCTCAGGGGGCAGGGGAGAGGGGGGAAAGAGACAGAGTCTCACTCTGTCGCCCTGGCTGGAGTACAATGGCACGATCGCAGCTCACTGCAATACCTGCCTCCCAGGTTCAAGCAGTTCTGCCTCAGCCTCCCGCGGAGCTGAGACTACAGGCACCCACCACCATGCCCAGCTAACTTTTGTATTTTTAGTAGAGATGGGGTTTCACCATATTCGCCAGGCTGGTCTCAAACTCCTAACCTTGTGATCCTCCCACCTCCACCTCCCAAAGTGCTGGTATTACAGGTGTGAGCCACCACGCCCAGCCTGAGACCCTATCTCTACAAAAACATTTTTAAAAATAGCAGGGCATGGTGGCTCATGACTGTAGTCCCAGCTACTGGGCAGGCTGATCTCAGAGGATCACTTAAGCCTAGGAGGTTGAGGCTGCAGTGGGCCATGATGACACAACTGCACTCCAGCCTGAACAACTGTGCAAGACCCTGTCTCAAAAAAAAATTTTTAATAAAAAAGCACTAACCAAAGGGGAAGAGATGGACTCAATTGTAAAACATCTCTTACTCCAAAGACACCACAAAAAGAATGAAAAGCCATGCTACAGAATGTGAAAAGATACTTGTAAAACATGAGCAGCAGCAACCTCATGTCTAGAGGGAGGAAGCCCAGTAGGATATGCTGTGGTTGTGGAATGTTCTGCAGGTCTGCTCCTTCCTGTAGAAAGTGATGTGAGGAAGAAACTGTTTTGTTGTTGCATGCCTTCCTATAGAATGTGACTGCAGGAGAGGAACGTTCTACAGCTCTGTCCTGTCTTATAGAATGTGATGTGAGGATGGAAATGTTCTGGAGTTCTGTACCGTCCTGCAGAATGTGCCATGAGGATGGGATTGTTCTGTACTTTCTGCTGTCCAGCAAAATAGCCACTAGCCATGTGTAGCTACTGAGCACTTGAAATATTGCTAGTCCAACTGAGGAACTGATTTTCTTATTTTATTCATTTAAATTTAACCACATTAGGTCAGTGGTGGTGGCTCACACCTGTAATCCCAGCACTTTGGGAGGCCAAGGCAGGCAGATCACCTGAGGTCAAGAGTTTGAGACCAGCCTGGCCAACATGGTGAAACCCCGACTCCACTAAAAAAATACAAAGATTGGCCGGGTATGGTAGCATATGCCTCTAATCCCATACTCGGGAGGCCCAGGGAGAGGATCACTTGAACCCGAGAGGCGGAGGTTGCAGTGAGCTGAGATCGTGCCACTGCACCCCAGCGTGGGCAACAGAACAAGACTCCATCTCAAAAAAAAAAAAAAAAAGCAAAAGGAGATGAGGCATGGAGAGAGGATTTGGGGTTGCAGACAATTTCAGGCAGCTGAGGGGAGCAGAGATAAGACATTACTGAAGGTGGTACAGAAGCAAGAAGTAATTGTGCTGTCTGCTTGTTGGTTTTGTTTCGGTTTTATTGTTTGTTTTAATGAAGGTTCCTAGAGCAGGGGCTTTCATACTTGCAGACTTCAACCCACACTTGTAGACTTCAACCCACAGTAACAAATCTGTTTCACACTGTGTGCTGGCATACACACATGCTGCATTTACTGAATCTCAGACTCCTTTGATTAGAAGATGCACCATTTTTTAAAACTGTCAATTAGATGATGAAGAATGCTTTATCTTCACTTAAAAGTTATATTTTATGTTTGTCTTTGGTTAGCTTTGTTTTGTTCTAAGAGACAAGGCCTTACTAGATTGTCAAAGCTGGTCTTGAACTCCTAGGCTCAAGCACTCCTCCTGCCTCAGCCTCCTGAGTAACTGGGACTACAGATGCACTCCAGCACACCCAGCTTATTTTATGCTTATTTAAAGCTTTTTCTTTTAGACCATACAACGTTTTTATAATATAAGTGAAATCTATTAGTATTGGTGTTCCTAAAACTTCCTCACACCAAGTCCAACTTTTAGAGTTGGTCATCAGTGTCTAACTATTCCCCTCTGTGCTCCCAGAAACCTTGATCTTAGCAGAAGGTGTTAACAGAGACTTTCAGGCTTTATACTCCTTCCTTAAATTGTCATTGAA